CGGCGGTGGGGGGAGGCGGAACAACGGTCGCCCACGCAATAGTGCGAATCAAGTAAGCTACGCAAACCCCCACTTTCTCCATGTCATTTCAATTTACGCGCCCGAATTTCACGGCGCACGACCATACATGGGCGATCGCCATTACGCCACGATGTGACTAGGGAGGTTGACCGCCCCCCGAGATTGTGCGCCAAGCAGCCCGCCGTGATCACGACCCCATGTCGTACTTAGGAAACCCACTCTTGGGCTTGTCCTTAGAAGGGATCAAGGCCACAAAAGGGATAGGGGCAAGGAGGAGATGGGCCCCTGCGGTTCTAATCGGTGGTGTGGATCCACATGACCATCTCTCCCTATGTTGGAGTCATCCGCTTCGAAGTCTCCTAGGTCGACCCCTCTGGGTGGGAGGCATCTTGCACTATGGCCACGGTGGAGGTGGTTGGGGACCAACGGGATTGACGGTCGACGATTTATGGGATGTCTCACGTGAGTCACAGCCAAACTCCATGTCGACTGGGGAGGATATCGGATCCCACTTGAATTACCCATAGACCCCGATGAGGCACGCCCGCTCGACTACGTGGTTACCAGACATGCCTCTCCCGGCAGGGGCGAAACCAAACCCGCACTGTAACAAGGCAACACAACCTCTCGGGGTCGGCAAGGACGCTAGGGAAAACGAAGTTGGGTTCTGTGACTGAAGAGGTCGAGGCCAAGCCACGACCAACTCTACCTGCGACCCCAGTCCTAGACCTAAGGCACGCTCTGGAGACTCATAAATGTTAGGGATCCACGACCTCTCTAGGAGAGATCAACGAAGCAAGAGGCTCGGGTGACGCGCAATGCGGAACCCAAAACATGATCACGGCTCAGTCACGCGGAAGAGACAGAAGGTCTAAGACCTATGAGCCAACGCACGATCGCTGAAAACCTCGTGACTATACCCGTAGAGGTCGAGGAAGTATTTCCTCGCATCATCAATACGAGGAGAACCCACCAGCAACATCAAGCTGGACCCGTAAGTCCGGCCCTCGCGGCACAAAGGCCCGTGGCACCTCTCACTCCCCTGCTCGCAAGTTCCCTTCTAGCATCGACCGCTGAAGGAACAATACTGGCCCGCCATCGTAAAGCGACCCCGATGGGACGATAACGAGAACCACGTGGTTCTCCTTGAACAACGTTACTCTCGCCTCCTCACCTTCTCGACACCTAGCCTTTCGGGGAAATCTGGGGGGAATTGGAGTCACAACCATAAGCGGCTCAAACAGTAGAAGAACCTTTACTTATAGGCCCCACGCCACATGGCGAACCATGGAGGGGGCACAACCAACGTCAGATGCCCGCATGAGGTCTGGAGGATCAAGACCCTCCCAAAGGTGGACTAGTACAATGTCGACAAGACTACTCGGTTTCGCTTGGGTCGCAAACCCCGATGCACGGCACACTAACACGGCAAGCCTCAGCGGTCATGTACCACAACGCCAGGACATCCTGGCAAAGTGGAACACGACGACCACCTATCACATTGAACGCACTAGCCCACTAGGGGTCGAGCAACGAAGCTCGAGTAAGCCATGACTACGAGCCCACGCTCTAACGCACGCGCATCTATCGTGGTCGCAAAAATGCTCGGGGGCTACTATCGGGGTTATAACCCCGGGGTGTCTCAAGGCACCGATTAAGCGGTAGGCCATAGGCGTCCGTAACACATCGGCTAGAGAAAGCCCGAACGACAGAGGCCTAACTAAGCCAAGCGCACCAGACCAGACGCTAAGGCCGGGGTCAGCCACGACCCTTTCCTCCTACCTTAGCCGTACGTCGCTCGAGCGATGCACGACCTCTCCCCCATCACGACCCCTGGGAGGGACAGGGAGGGGTCGACCTCAGCCAAGGATACCCACTCTGACAAGAGCAAGCATACCGCACTGACCTCGCCAGGACCGAAGGGATGGCAGTCACCTCGATTCGGTCAAACGCCAACCCTGTGCTGCACTACACAGACAAGACAACACCGCACAGCGCTGACAACGGGTATGATACCCACTGTCCAAATACAGACCGATAAGATGCATGTACGATCCAACCCACTAAGGGATGGGATCCACGACAAGGGTCTCAATGTAGAGACCATCCAGACAGGCAGGAAGCCCCGACCCTAGTGATCTGGGTCGTGGTGTTCAGCCCCGCAAAGCAACCCGGCGATCGATGACCTAGGGCGGCTACCTACTCCGGGTACGACGCCCCTAGAAACCAGAAGACGATGACGAAGACCACGATGGACACCGCATTGTGTAGGATGGCTGGCGAACCACCACCGTGTCTGTAGTGCCAACATGGCCGGCACAGTAGCACTACGTCATGCCCTGCCATGACATGGCCACAAGACCATGATGATGGCCACGCCTGGACGTACTCCACAAGATAGGCGTAGCTTGCACGCCAAGTTAGCTAGGCCCTCCCTTAGGCTCTCGACCCTTCGGTCGGGAGAACCTCCTCTTTGTATATGCCCTGGCCCCAAACTCTATATAAGGACAACCAGGGCACCCTCTCTAGACATCTTGAACACTCATTCTAGATCCTCTACCATTTCATTCATTCACCATAGTAGTAGGGCTCCTGAAGATACCATCTCTTTCACCATTCTTGCACCCCCCATTGTAAGAACTTCAGAGCATTCATGTGAGGAACACGCACTCGATCATCTCTAAGACTGGACGTAGGACTCCGGTCTAAACCAGTATAAATCCTCGTGTCTTTTGGATGCTACCATCGTCTTCCTAGAGCAGCGCGCCAATCGTATAAATTTACTAATCCGATTTCTAAAACACCGACACTAGACTACCTTTCTAAACGATTTTGCATTGAGAATCCCCAACTATTTATAACCAATCAAACCTTTTAATACTTCTTCCCAAATTATATGACATTTTGGGATTTCTAGATTCATAGCTTTTACTATGTATCTAAACATACTATATATTTAGGTGCGTAGCAAAAGCTATGAATCTAGAAATGCCAAAATATCTTATAATTTGGAACGAAGAATATTTGGAACGGAGGAAGTAGTTTCTTTCTCTTATCAATTTCTCACGCGAGACCCTTTATTTTTTTAAATTACTCATGCGTCCAATTTCCTCTGATCTCCCAAGAAAAACGTCATATGAGGAGCGGATATGCATTTCCTCCCGGCTTCGGAAACTTAGGAGTTAGAGAAGATATTTAACAACATTTTTTAATTTTTAAGGAGCTCGTTACCAAATTGTTAGAGAGGACTTTTTCCTTTTTTGCTAAAAAATCAAGATAGGGAGTTATTTTACAAAACTTCAAGATGCTCCAATAGACATTTTATTTATGTTTAATTTAGTTAAAGGGTTCTTTTCTTTCTTTCTTAATTACTTTCAATAACCAACCCTGGTATGTAATTAACAGGTCGCCGTTGCAATATACGTGTTTCGGAAGTCGTGGCCAGAAAATATAGGAATCTTGGCACCAGTGATGATTCTGTTTTTTGTTGTTGGGATTCTCAAATGCGTGTGTTAAAGCCATGGGACTTGAAGAGAGTTAGCATCAATAGCCTCGTCGACTCTTCTCGTTCGGAACAAGTTCGTAGCCTGAGCTCGTCTCAAAAAAAGTACGTTCGAGATGCAACGAGGTATTTTCAGGAGGGCCACAGATTCCCATTGGCCGCTCCCGAAGACGATGAAGTTTGGAAGCCCTACGATCTATTCGTGGACCTTACACCTCATCATTTGATTCGCCTTAGCTGCCTCAAAGCCGTGGTGCATGATGCAGCAGACAAAGCACATCGCTTGTTACGGTATGGCCTCTCTGTGACGTTTGATAGACTCTACACCAAGGAACCACAGGTGTCGCAGATGAATATTAGAGATAGGTTTTTGGTTTACTCCCGGATTGTACTAGTCAGTTGCTTGCCTGGATTCGCATCCTACGATTTGCAGTAACCAGCTGCGCATTCTTGATGATATTAGTGGCAACGGTACTATTAGCCACAGAAATCATTCGTTCCAATGACCATACAGATGCCATTGTCACATTTACCTTGATATTGCTTACAGTTGTTCTGGAGTTTCTACCTATTATTACGCATTTTGGGACGAGTACAGAAAAAACAGGACGAATTGACAATGGCAAGGGCCAATGGCCAGATGAAGTTGCCCAGTGTAACCTCATGGGGTACTTAAATCGAAACAAGAAGCACAGGAAGCTCAGGAGGCTTGCCACCCTGCTTGTCTGCTAGGACTAGACCAGCTCTGGTGTATGAAGCCGTCCAAGTCGTCGAGCGACATCACAAAGCTCGTCCACGGCTACATCGCCAAAGCGTGGACGGAGCATCACATCAAAGACATGGCCACCGAGAGCTCAAGCCCCCTACCCATATCGTAGCAGTGGAACCCTCATAAATTTTAGGCAAAGTTCTAAAGTATAGGGGATTGAGACTTAAGATCGAACAGCAGTGTTGTTCAGTCCCTGAAATATTTTCTGGGTCCGCCGCTGTGGCCACCTACAGAGACTTCAACGACAACCGGGGTCAGTGGACTCTCAACCGAGAAGGGTGCGGAGACAGCCTCGCCTGGAGCCTTGAGCGGCCGTTCGACGAGAGCGTCCTCCTCTGGCACCTCGCCACAGACTTCTGCTTCCACCCCACGGCGACACCCCCCTCTGACGAAACCGCTCGACTCTTTAGGGTGATGTCCAACTACATGGTGTACCTTCTCTTCGTCAACCCGGAGATGCTGATGACCGGCGCCAGACGCTTCCTGTTCAGAGAAGCTTACAGGCAGCTTAAGGAGACCCTCAAGTTGATGCCTCAACTAGATGATGGTGCAGGGCCCTTGAGACATGATGGGGCGAGTTCTTCCGGAAGATAGTTCAGAATATTCAACAAGCCAGTGCCACAGTCGATTCTTTTGGACATCGTTTCACATACGTATACAATGCTTGGAGGCTTGGTCAACATCTAAACAACTTACGTATGGATCAGGATGATGCCAAGATGTGGAACGTACGTGATCCAGGGAGTTTGGGTGGAGATGCTCTGCTTCTCTGCCGGAAGGTGCAGAGGGTACCTGCACGCCAAGAGCTTAGGCATGGGCGGAGAGTGCCTCTCCTACATCTGGCTCCTCATGTCCTACATGGGGATGGAGACCTTGGCTGAGCGGATGCAGAGGACCAAGCTGAAGGACGAAGATGCAAGAAACAACGGTGGCAGCTCCAATGGCACAACAGCAACAGCTTCGTCATCGAGTATAGCTACCGGTGGCAGTGGCAATGGGACGGCAGCAGCGATACCAGTCTCAGCCGCTGGTGGCGGCCACGGAGATGACACAACAGAGGCTTCTACACCAGTCACGGAAGGCGGTGATGCAGATGGGACTATACCGGCTTCACCAGTGACGACCACAAATCCCGGCGGCGATGGCACAACAGCGGCTTCACCGGTAACAGGAAGCGGTGACGATAATGACTGATAGATAAACGGTGTACATACCGTTGGATATATTTCATGTCTCGTTCACCTCTGTATGTTGACCTCAGTTTGTTTCATTCCAGCATGTTTGTCGTTACTAGTTTGCTCCTAGCTAGTATTGTGCCTGCTGTCCTTTATTTTCTGTTGTTCTTGCATGTTCTTAAGCTATGATGACTGAAATTCAGGTCTGTACTCTGTAGTGTATATTTTCATCACATTATCGCTCTCCTGTAAAACAATGGTACAGCTTGTTACATAAACACGTCATAGGGGCCGGTCAAGTTGCTTAAACAATGCCTCAGAAAAAGGCTGCAGCTGAACAACTCCGCACTACAGATCTTCCGGATCAACAAGCTCCAATGAGTGGAGCTTGCTTATGCGTACGTGACTGCGTGTGTACTTGGGTGGTGTTAGTTTGTTACCGCTACAAGCATACCTTTTTAGTGATATACTTGGGTGGTGTTAGTTTGTTACCGCTACAAGCATACCAAATTTTAGTGATATGCTGACGTGGATAACATGACATGCTGATGTAGATAGCTTGCATAGATAGATAGACGATATAATTACATGTGCTATTGGGATGCCGATGTGGTTGTCTTGTATGTGGAAATAGAATTGTGAATAGATATAGGTTACATAATTACTTATGCTAGTGGGATGCTCATGTGCATGTCTTGCATGTGGAGGTAGAATCGTAGTGTGCGGTTTAGAATTATAAGAGATAGGGATGACCATGCTTAGATAAAAATAATAATGGCTTTTGCGTCACGTTAGCTGATAGAAATGAGTGCTGACAAAAGAAGATTAAGCACGTTTAGCTTTGCTTGGATGACTCCGTTAATACGTATTTTCTGTAATATAAAATAATAACTATAGGCAATTTTCGAATCTCTTATTTCCTATCTCCTATACCTAGATAGGAGTTTTCTGGCTTCTAAGCCATGTCAGCATCAACCCATACACCATCGGTCAATCTTATCTCCTTCCCGTTCCTTCACCGCACGATCCCGGGAAACATCCCATTTAATTTTTTGGGCCATGCAAAGAGACGTCAGAATATCTTTCTCGAAACATATCAGCGGAGAGAGAATAGAGTTGAAACGCCGTGATGGCGTCGACCTTGGGGAGAGAGAAGGCGCGCACAGGCGACTTGCAGATTGAAGGACCTTGGATATACTGGGTATATCTGAACCCGAACCCATTGTGGGTAGTGATTTTTCAGAGCTAAAATCGGGTACCATTTTCTATTATCCGAATCTGTATTACCTGAATTACTCGACTTGAAAATTCGCGTAACCCAAATGCCCAGGCCTAAGCGGTGGGAAATGTTACACAGCGTCAGGATCCAAGGGCATCGAAAGATACTGTGCCGGGTCCGGCACCAGCTCGCGGGCCTGCAGCATGTGAAGGAGAAGAGCCCAACAGGGAGACCATCCAAGAAGGACGGCCCGCTCGCATCCCTCGTCCAGATCCGCATGTCGTGGGACTCGAGTTGCTGTGAAGAATGGAGAGCCTGATGTATTAAAGGGAGAGAGAGAGAGAGAGCGAAGAGGGCCATATGAAAATGGAAGCTGCTAGCGCACGAACGTCCGATCTAGGACGCTAGCATCGGATGCTGTCACAGGGTGCACTGCTGAATCATCATACGTTGCTGAGGCCGTAGCCGGATGTGAAAAAATTAATTCACACGCGTGGGATTCGCTCGCACATGCGGGGACAGCCCCGTTTCCCGTACCACTCCTTTCCGGCACGCATGCACGCTCGCAACCGCTCTGCTTCCCGCACGCACGTGGGACTGCCTGTGCCCCACATGGGTCCCAATCACCTGCCCTGCCTGTGGATGAGCGCCTGGATGCGTCTACCCGGCTCAGGCGCCCGCACGGTGACCCACGGCGGCGCCCCAGTAGTTGTAGCAGGAGGGTACGGCTTGGAGCATGTGTAACACCAAATCTACTTTTGCAACATCCAAATGAAACACTTGCAACATACGTACAAAACATGTGGAACACTCGCAACATACGTCTGAAACACCAGGAAAACACATGTGTAGCCATTGCGAACATATGCAACATCTAGATGAAACACTTGCAATATATGTATGAAACACCTCAAACACTTGAAAACACATGCTTACAACATACATGTATATGCAACATCCAGATCCATTTTTGCAACATTCACCTGAAACACTTCCAACATACGTCTGAAATAGTTGAAATATTTAGAACATGCAATTGAAACATACGTATATAGCCATTGCAACATATGCAACATCCCAACCTACTTTTGCAACACCTCTGAAACATCTGAAACACTTGAAACATATGTTTGCAACATGCATTTTCAGCGCAACATCTCCTTGCTGCTTGGGAATTGGAGATTCGTCGCTGCATGGAGTTCACAGGTGTAGAGCTCGCTAGTGGCGTGGAGCTCGCCGCTCTAGTGGAGAAGCCACGGCAGGTCCGGTGGAGAAGGCCGCGGCGGGTCGCTCCGGTGAAGAAGGCGAACCGCGCGCTGGAGAAGGCCGCGAGGCGAAGTGGGGCGCGCACGGGAGAAGGCCGCATCAGGTCGTTTCGGTGGATGAGGTAGGGCGTGCCAGTGACGACGGCGCAGAGAGCGAGTGGGTGCTGGAGGAGGAAGCTTGGATGGGAGAGAATCTATGGCGGACTGGATTTCGCACTGCCCGACACGGGCACGGTGGACGCCTTGACGGGAGGCGGAGGGGCGCACAGCGCGGTGAACACTGCGACGGCATGGAGTGGGGAAGTTACGGTCGCAGTCTCACAGAGATGAGGGAGTAGGGGAGCAGGCCAGTTGCTTGTTGGGCCTATCCGCGTCTAGGCCTAGGAAGACGGCGTCCGCAGTCCGGATGCCCTACAGCAAGAATTACCGTATGAAAATTGTAAACCGACTCCGCGTGCAGGCCCCTTCCTACTCCGATCCTCTGCTAACAGCATTCAAGTCAGTCCCGTGACATCACCGAGCTCGTCTCCAACCATGTCACGGACGGGTGGTGGCAGATACATAACGTCGCCTTCAACGATAGCCGTGGCCAGTGGACTCTCGGCCGCGAGGGGTTGCTCGACGCCCTTGGCTGGAGCGTGAGCAGGCCATTCGACGAGAGTCTTCTCCTCTGGCACTGGCAGCTCGCCACGGACTTCTGCTTGCACGACATGGCCAGGACTCCTGAGTCCTGAAGCTCAGCAAGCCGTCATCCGTAGCATGGCCGTTGCCCGACTACATGGCGCGGCGTACCTGCTGTTCGTCAACCCGGAGATGCTGATCCCCGGTGCCAGGCGCAGCCTGTTCAGAGACGACGCTTACAAGGAACTCGAGGGTATTATTCCACCGGACGACGCCCAACAGTTGCTAGGTGGTCAGGAAGAGCTTACCAGTAATATAATCCGTAGGCTAAGGGAGACTGCAGGGAGTTCAGGTTCAGGTGTGGTTCCTGACGCTTTGGGCAATCGCCCAGATGCTCGTTGGTTTACATGGAGAAGACGTGGACATGGTTTGGAGGGTGGTTCAGGCCGTGTGGGTGGAGATGTGCCTGCTTCTCTGCCGGAAGGTGCAAAGGCTACCTGCACGCCAGAGCGTCAGCTGCCGGAGCCGGTGACAACAACGATGTGGTGCTTACTATAGACGAGTTGTGGGCAATAGTGCCATCAAGGTTGCCTTTTATTTTCTCTATATGAAACATGTTTCTTCATGCAATTTTACTGGTCTTGTGTTTGATTATTCTGGTGCAGTTTCCCTTGACCTGTAAATCAGAACTGTGTCAATGTGGCCCGTGCAAATACCAAATGCATCTAGTTTTTATTTATTGTAACATTGGATCTTTTGTACTGAAAAATAATACTCCTTCGTTCTAAATTATAAAGTCGTTTTGTTTTTTCTAGTAGTTTTCGAGAGCAATGCGCACATGTATCATTAAGATTAAAGTTTGTAAACAATGGCCACATACACCCATGCAGCAACACAGGATCGGAGGTACACTTAGGGCCGTTCGGTTAGCCTGTTTTGGACCTTTCCACGCCCGGAATCATTCCAGTGCTATATAAATTAACAAAGGAACAAAAACATTCCACGTAACCAAACGGGCCCTTAAGCCGGTACGAAGCCACATGGTGGACTGACAAAACAAAAAGATTGCATCTGTCGTGCAGAAGAGAGTAGCAAGGGCAACACTATGGATCTGGGAAGGAACAAAACACTCCGGAGTCAGGAAATTTCTGCTATCAAACATTCTGGCCACTGATGGACGACCCAGCTGCCGTGGGGCCCTCGTATAGCTCCGTCCTCTGCATCTTCTCCGCCAAGGTCTCCATGCCCATGTACAAGAGCAGGAGCCAGACGTAGGACAGGTACTCCCCGCCCGTGCCCAAGCTCTTGGCGTGCAGGTAGCCTTTGCACCTGCTGGCCGAAAAGCAGAGCATCTCCACCCACACGCCCTGGATCACCGTCCACATCTTCTCCTCGTTGCCCTTGTGCGAAACCATGAGATCCTCGGCGACGCTCCAAGCCTGACGAACGACACTGCCGCCTGCTGAGCCCTGGACGCCGTCGTCGTCGCCGTCCCTCTTGAGCAGCTGGATGACCCTGTGCGCGAGGCCCCTCTTGCCCCGCCCCCGCGGCGTGCGCGGAGGATCCTCCTCGAGCACATCCATGAGCTCGCCGCACGCGTCCCTGAACAGGTTGCGCCGGGCACCGGGCATCAGCATCTCCGGCTTGACGAAGAGGAGGTACGCCATGTAGTTGGACATCTCCCTGCAGCGACGCGAGGCGGCGCTGGAGGGGGACGGGTCCTCCTGGAGGAGGTGGAAGCAGAAGTCGGTGGCGAGGTGCCAGACCAGGACGCTCTCGTCGAACGGCCTCGACACGCTGCTCATCAGTACCATGGACGGTATGCCGGTGCTCTCAACCCCGGCGACCTCCCTGCTGAGACTGAGAGTCCACTGGCCCCGGTAGTCGTTGAACGCCCGGAACGAGTCCGCGCCG